AGCAACCAGCTGGGTAAGTGCTCCTTTGCTCTGGTGGCCAATTGCCTTTGCGGATGCAAGTACATAGGGCGAACGCTTTAACAAATTTCCTTTACCCTTAGACCTCCTATAACAACTGTTTCCATAGGAAAATTGCTGGGACTTGGTGTAAATGAGGGGCACTACTTAAACTACAATTGCCGCTCAGATGTTGCGAAGGAGGTCTGCTTACTGAAACTCCAGGAAAAATTGCTCTGTTGTAGTGGGAAGGAACCATGACCTGCACTCGATGGACTGTGAATGGTTGAGGATCTCCATATCGCTTTTGTACAGGATATCGGTGATTGGAATCCTCAGTGTCGGGGTCAGATTAGGCGACAAATGAGAATTCAGCAGAATTCGAAGAAAGTTTGCGATGATTGAGCCCAGCCACGTCAAGAAGTTGCGAGGTCAGCTCATGTTGCGGGTCAATACTATCGTTGTGGATTAGCTAAATAGAGAGAACCCTTACCGCTGAGATCTTCTAGAGCGGTCCCGTAGAAAAAGAGAAGAAATAGGTTAGGCAGAGTGGAAGGAATAGTGTACTCTAGACAGAACAGTCGGATAATAGTTAGGAGGAAGTTGACCATCAGACGAGCATGCATCTGGCCACCAGAATGGTCGCGTCCGAAGTGTGAGCGCGCTGGTTTGCCACAAGCGCTTGCAGAACGGCCTTTGTGTTAGCCAGCCTCAGCAAGATGATTGGTCAGACCAGACTGGGGGTGGAACTACATCTGCACTCAGTCGCGAGAGAGTGTGCTGCACGCAGAATGGTGTCACAACAGGAATTTAAAATCTAGCTCAGTTTTGGTGGGAGAGGACCTGAATCAAGCATGTATACCTTAAGGATGACATGTCACCCTCGCAGTATAATCGTTTTGGATTGGTGTGAGAGAGGAGTATCCAATCCTCCAGGGTCCACAGCGAGGCTAAAAATCGGGATATAGTGTGATAAAGTGGCCTAATAAAGAATTCTAATCTGTGTGTCATCCCTCCGCTAAGCACGGAAGTAAAACACACTAGAACTGGTTGCCATCGTGTAACGGGGAAGGTAGATCTCAAATTATACACGATGCCATTGCCAGCTGTTGGCATCGATAATAAATTCAGTATATTTGCTATACATTTACGCAAATAATCGTCCTAGGTTTCGTCAACAAACGCCTCATGCGCAAAGAAAGCAGCTAACTCCAATGTTTTATCAAAACTCCATGCTTGAATCCCAACCTCGTTTATGTTTTTCTGTTTGTAGAAAGAAAGCGGCAGTTGCCACGATATTCGCTGTTCAGCACGAAACGCACTGCCTCTATCTCTGACAGCTGGCCGTTTACATGTCCAGCGTCGGATCCATCGCAAAGGGATCAGCGGAGAGACGTTCGCCTGCTATCTCGAAACGCCATTTTCGGAAAGGGTGCAACGGTCGAGCCGGCCATCTACCACCACCGACTATCTGCACGGCCGGCGCCGGATCGGTCTCAAAGAGATCAGCGCGGGGATGTTTGCCTGCGAACCCGAGACGCCGTTTTCGGAACGGGCGAAA